TTTTTTTTTTTTTTTTTTTTTTTTTTTTTTATTTCTTTTTTTTTTTTTTTTTTTTTTTTTTTTTTTTTTTTTTTTTTTCTTTTTTTTTTTTTTTTTCTTTTTTTTTTTTTTTTTTTTTTTTTAAACGTGTATGGCCTAAAGTTTAGGCTATGATTTAGACCTCTTGAGCATTCAACTTTAGATATCACTAGCGGCCAGAATATACATGACAATTAATTCTAGCCAATGAAGATGAGAATTAACGCCCAAAGCCGATTGACACGCTGTTAGCACACTTTAAATGACTGTTAAAGAAATGCATGATGAGCCTTCTCAGGAGAGTTAAAAAAATTGTCCCTAGATGTGCATGAGAGGGCTTAGCTTAGAGGCTACTTTTTATAGTGAGTATAATTTGTACAAAGATGCCTTTTATTTCTGGATGTGTACAAGATCAATTTCCAATCAGCAATATTTAAAGTGTTATGGTAGCTGACTTTATTTCTTCAAATGTACTAAAGTAACCAGTGTGTGAGGGTCTGAGTGAGGGGAAAGAGTGGAATGTGGGTCTTCAGGATGAGAATGCATATAGAAGACTTGCAATAAAAATGACAGCAGCGCAGTAAAAGTGGAAAATAAAACTCTGACAGGCTGTTCTAAAAGTACAGGCAGAGGATAAAGGACTAGTCACCAGCATTTTATCTGCTTTCCATTCAGGTTATAAAATGCGAAATGAAAATTGTGCTTAGAAGAAACGTATTATAATAACAATAAAAGTGAGCCAAGCTGCTCACACTATATCACTTGATGCAATATACAAAGTCATAAATGTAGAAAGTGTAGTGCTACGAATTATATCCAAAAATTGTGAAAATACAAACAGAAAAAGGCAGCAAATTAAATCTTTACCATATACAGTGGATGAGAAATAGAATTATAAATTCAGATTGTGGCATATAGATTTCCACATAAGAGAAGAGTACCAATTATCCACGGGACCAGATATCCCATGTAACCAGATCTTCAGTCACGACCTCATTCTTATGCAAAATGCGAAAGGCATGAAAAATTAAATTATATTTTAATTTTATTTTATCACGCGTTCTGTATATGCTAATTTGTTATGCAGTTGCATAAGAAAAAGTGCAGCTGAACGATCTGGTCACGTTGGATATGCTGGTCACATAGATAACTGTCACTCTTTTCTTATGTGGAATCTATATGCAGTTTGAATTTTAATTTAATTTCTTATGCACTGTATATGGTATGAATGGATATTTGTTGCTTACTGTAAATAAAAATTTTTGGATTTTTTGGAATATAATTCTAGCGCTAACTACTTTCTACATACATATATTTACCATCTCACAGTTAATCTCCTCTTCCCTATTTACTGAACATCTACCATAACATGGTTTCTGCCACTGTTCTGTCCCCTGTCTAGTGGTAGAGTTCGGTTCATCTTTAGTAGAGCTAAGGGTTATATGCGCTTCCTCATATTAGGATAAACTCTCCATCAAACGAGAAACAAGTTGAGCACTCACACCTGATCATCACCAATTCTCATTCTCATAAGACATCCTCCTCCTAGACTAAGCCGAGTCAGAGCACAGACTCACTGAACTTAGATGCCTACATTGCAGTTATTATATCTATTACAGCTGTAGGTTGTCGCAGAAGTACCTAGGCAACATTCAACGAGCCACAAAAACATGACCATTATGAGGATCTAGCCTTCCTCCCTACAAAAACCCCCTTCCCTAATTACGCAATGCTTTCTTCTTTGATAATATGTAATTGTGGTGTGTGTTTACTTGCCCCTATCTCCCTCCTTCAGAGCTGAGTAGACTCGCGGACTGGTGCAGCACACTGCTTTTTCTTTTATCTTTAGCTTAGTTGGGGATCGTCCACTGGTCCCTTCCCCAGGAATTAGTATGGCAATATGTGTGGGGTACATGCTTGCTTCTGACAACCTTACTAGAGGTTATTATTTCTGCCTTGGGGAGTTATTGCTTTGATTTTGAAACTTGCTAGGGGCTTATTTGCTTGCCCCTGATTCCCTTTGATGGGGGTTATAGTTTCTGAATCCTAGGCGACATGTCTCTGGGCGGTTATAGTTGCTAAACACCTGACACATGTTGGGGGTTCATAGTCTGTTGACATTCCCTGACACATCGTTGGTGGGTTGATAGTTCTCTGAATCTGTACAACGACATGTTGGGGGTTTTATAATTGCTACACCGGCCAGACACATGTTGATGGGGTTATAGTATTCTGATCTGGACACATAAGTGGGGGTTCATATTGTGCTAACACTCTGCTTGACACATTGTTCGGGGGCTAATATAGTTGACTTGACCCCCTGAACGACAAGCATGCTGCACATGTTTGGTTGGTACCTATAGTTCCTGACCACTGACACAATGCTGGTGTGTATATACTTGTAGCTGCTGACCCTGACCTACTTGGACACTTGAGCTGGAAGTTATTGCTAGACCTTGCAAAGAGGGCTGCCAATGGACGGTTAATTACTTACTCCTACAAATTCCTCTATAGGTGTACCTCTTTGTATAAACAAAGGAAAAGTGTGGCACACTAAAAGCGTCCTATACTCCATTCAAGCAGCACCATAGTCTAGCCAATATACCCAACATAATCCTGTCAAAATACGATCGCCATCTTCTCCTGGCCAGGCCCATCCCAGCCACAACCTACTCCCTAGCCCAAAGCCACTCCACTCACCCCAACGACAACCCTAAAACACAAATGACCATGGAACGGCCACGGCCCCATGGTGTGCCATCCAAGAGAAACACACCAGCCCAGTAGCCTCATGTAAGACTCACATGATACTTACACACCATGCCACACTGTCCCCACCCTCCCCTCTTTTCCAAGCTAACAAGACTGAGCTAGACTATAGCACAGTTCATTGTTAATCTCTTCCTGTGAAGATCAGGACGTTCATGGAAGCAGCACTCGAGACTAGAAGCACGGAGACAGCAGCATTGAAAAGATGTAAAATCTGCGGCTGGGAACCTCGACTGACTCGCGGGCGAGTAGGCAATTCCACTAGTTAGGGATCAAGATCTGGTCATTGCCATCTATGGTGTAGACTAGTAGAACACCTCTTGGATGCACCCTGCAACAAGTCAGGGCAGGAGCAAATGTAGTCACATCGATGGTTCCTCCCAAGGAGTAAAAAAGACTCCATGGCTTCAATACAGGGTGGCTCAGTGGTGCTGGACTCTGTACCAAGTGGTACACCCCATTTTGGACCATATGCGTTTAGAGATGTATGTCCCAAACACAGAATTCCTGCATTCTGGGCATATGCCCCTGAACACACACGACCCTAAATGCAAGTACTGATTGGTACAGCATGTAGCCACGATGGCAGGATGGCAACAAGCACACACAGTCTTTTACAAAGGGGGTGCACTCTTATTTTTATTCATTTGTTTTTTTAAATTACAACTTTTATTTAAAACGATTCTTATTCAATTTATATAAAATATCAGTTTCTAGGCTTGTAAACTTTTGAAAATGAATAAAAAATTAAATTTTGATTGGAAACAGGTAGCCCATTTATTCAGAAAATTATTTGTTCTGCAATAAATGTCATTTTTTTAGAGAACATATTTATTTTTATACCCGTATAGTAAGAGGTCATTAGATACTGTAAATATACTGTACATGATAAACATTCATTTAAAAAATGTACAATATAAAATATAACATTTTCACACTGTAAATTATAGGACCTAAAGGCATATTTAAATATATGTAATGATCAATGATGTGCAGTAATCTATACAAATCAACCAATTTTAGAAAAAGATAATAATTATTGGACCATTAAACAATAAAAACATTGTTAATGACAGAAATGTGTGTATTTAAAAAATGTATTACTGCATACAAATCAAATATTTTATGTTTATCAAACTGTTGTATATAACATATGGGTCTATTCCTAAAGCAAATTGCTGTGTGAATAATCCCCATAATGTTTCCTTACTTTCTGCTGTGTCTCTAAAGCTGGCTATACATGGAGAAAATTTAATCTGATTCCTGAAGAATCCACGGAAATTCACTCAGTAGGTGGGTTTATAGGCTGACTCTCTCCCAACTGCAAAATTGAAGGAGCTGAGTGGAGAATTGTCAGCTGTACAGGGGCTGCATCTAATCAGATGCTGATGCTGTACAGGTGTTTTGACCACTGGCTGGTTTGGCTGTCAAATTAAAACCTGGAACAGGAGATTCTTATGTAGCTTGGATTGAGGAACTGGTTAGCTTTTAATCAGGGCTGTAAGGGAAGAAACATTTTCTCAATGAGCCTAGCTCTAGGGCAGGGGTAGGCAACCTGCGGCTCTCTAGCTGTTGTGGAACTACATTTCCCATGAGGCATTGCAACTTTACAAAACTGACAGTTACAGCTATGACTTGCAGAGGCATGATGGAACTTGTAGTCCTGCAACAGCTGGAGAGCTGAAGGTTGCCTACCCCTGCCCTAGGGGAATGCTTTCCTTAACATCAACAAAAAGATTCAGAAAATGTTCATTGATTGTTTTGTAGCATTTAGGCTGCCTATTAAAATAAGCTCATAGTAGCTTTAAGATATTCTTACCTTTTTAGGTGAATTGAAGTGAACACTAATATTAAAGTGCATTGAGCCACGCCAACCAATCACAAACAGGCTTTATTTAGTCTACAAAGTGCAGGATGCAATAAACTGATTTTTAAACTGGTTAATTGATATCTGAATATCATTGATTTTACATATGGATGTTAAATAAAGCCCTTTGTATTTGTCCACTTATCAACCTTTAGGGCGGAGTCTAATAATACTGCGTGGGGGAGAGGTTGATCCTTCGCACATTCAAATCTGTGGCAAAGGTCCTGGCTTTCTGATAAAAGTAAAGGGATTTTTCTCTGTCCACCAGAAAATTGTGATAGATAACAGCAAGCTGGGTGTAAATCTTCAGCTGGGACTTCTTGTTGCCTAAATCTATTGCGGCCGCCAGGGCAAGATGATAATATCCTGCTGCATCGTATGGATCCTATAATACAAGTGGAACATTTCATGAAATGGTAGAATATCAGTTATAATCCACAGGTATTCACACAATAATTGTCTTTATCTTAATCTGAATAATAGGCATATGGTACGGATTAGTTGACCTGCTATTACCTTGATAGCTTTGTGATCCTGCTTTGTCCTACATACAGTATATCTGTTTTAAGCCAGCCATACATCAAAATTCAGCTGGTTCACCAGGGACTGAATTAATTTCGATCCATGTATGGGCATGAACGATTAGTATTGCCAGCTATAACCAGCCACAATAATCATTGTGTTCTGTTGGCAGGGAAGGGTTCCCACGGGCATAACACAATAGTGCTACAGGAGGGATTCCCCCATCAACACTGAATGTGTGGAAGGAAAGAAAACTGCACAATCTATGGCCCTACAGATTTAGAGCTCTCCATGTGGTCACTGCCCCACCTCCTGGCAAATACATGAACTTTCTGGACTCAATTTATTGCCTTGGTGTTGCCTTGAGATTTGATTGCTTTGGGGGACCAGGAAAAAAAAAGTTTTTCTTGTTAACCCCTTGGCACCGGCGCCTCCTGGCCCTTTGGGGTTTGTGATGACGGGAGGGGAGGGTTTAGAGTCATGTGACTGCCGTGATTGGCTGTCACGCGGTCACGTGATCGGAAAGATCCCCATCGAAAGTAGTGAATGGGACCTTTCCGGTAAATGTGCTGGGACCGTGCAGAAGGCACGCTCTCTGCACATTTGTTTCTTTTTTGTACGCAACTATGCGGCTGCATGGCATCAAGGCCCAGCCACTGAGAGGCTGCATATTTGCGTACTGTCGGCGTGAACAGGGTAAAGTAAACTGACCCAAGCTATGATCATCTAGGGGTTACGAGGCTCTGCTTTGACTCTATAGACTCTCCCATTATACAGTAGATAGCAGATAGTGCCTCAGCCCAAATGAAGTTGAAAGAAGGCCACTAGTCTTTGGTTTGATTTTTAGTTAGGTGTACAGTAAAGTGATGGTAAATTGGGGGTTAAGAAGTGGGGAATAAATGCTTCAAATTCCAGGTCCACTTAAAGCCCAATTGAATTCAAAGAAATAGAAATTCAGACAGACTTTGTTCTAACAAGATGTGTTTTCATAGTTTTACCACCACATTACTATTCTAGCAATTGCACAGGATGTGACTTGATTTGACTGGGTATGTCCAATAGGCCCAATAGGTAGTATGCCAGGCAAAATCTGCTAACAGAGCTCGTTAGAAATGCCTTTGTCAGCACTACAAGTCTGTGTGAGGACACTTATGATGAGGGGTGTGGATGTTACTCATCTACACCAGCAGCCGCCAAAGGGTGTCAGTATGGGGGGGGTGGTAAAATGCGCCTTCCCCTTGAAAAAAATCCTTGAACCATCCCTGCTCTGCTGCCTCTTCCTCTCCCAACTCACCCCCCCCCCCATTGTTTTGCTCTCTCCCTCTCTTCTCCCTCACAACTCTACCTCGTCCCTTCCCTCTGCCTGTATTTCCTGCTCTGTCGGTCCGGGGCTCAGTGCTATTGTTGCGTCCTGTCTGATTGTGCGCTGGCTCCCTGCTGGATCAGAGAGCTCTACCCCCCGCTGAGGGACTCCACTCCTCTGGGACCCTACTGGGACTCCATCCCCAGCCCAGCCTGGCAAGTAACCCAGACAGCGGGTGTTGCCAGTTACCCGATCATCACCCCCCCCATTTTTGGCACCCCAATCACCAGTATTAGCAACCCAATCACCAGTACCCAAGATCTTGGTACACCAATCAACAGTCCCCATTTTTGTAACCCAATCACCAGTACCACCAGTTTCAGCACTCAAGGCTGGCGCCAGCATAAGGCTGCTTAGGCAGCCACCTTAGGGTGCCAGGATGGGGGGTGGAAAATGCACCTTGTCCCCACCTTGTTGCTACCTGTCTGATTGTGCATCAGCTCCCTGCAGGATCAGGAGAGCTCTCCCCTGCTGACGGACTCCACTCCTCTGGGGCCCTACTGGGAGTCCGCTCCATCTCCAGCCCAGCCTGGTGAGTAACCCAGACAGTGAGAATTGATGGTTATAGCACCCCGACCACCAGTACCAGTGGACTTAAAACCCAATCACATTTCCCCCAATTTTTGGCACCTCAATCACCAGTATTAGCAACACGGTCACCAGTACCCCAGGTCTTGGCACAACGATCACCAGTCCCAGTTATTGTAACCCAATCATCAGTACCAGTGGTTGCAGCACTCAGGGTGCCAGCATGGGGGGGGGGGGGGGGGGGGGGGTAAAAATGCACCTTTGCCTGTATAGACAAAATTCTTTTCACCGGCCCTATATAACAGCATAGAGCACTTGTGTGGGCAGAAGGATCATTTCCACTAATAGAAAAAGACATTTCAAATAATTTCCACGCAAAAAGCAGTTAAACATCATAACGTGTGGAGGGGTGAGACTTCAGTTGGGCTTTGAATCATAAAAGTAAATTGGATTGTACCAGAGATATGCTATAATCAGGTTCACATTATTAGGTTTGGTTGTGTTTTTTTTTCTTCCTTACCTTAAGATCGTAGAATATGATGTCTCCCAGGATGAGGTAGACCTTCATGTAGTAGATGGCCTCTTCCTCCAGCTCCAGAGGTGAAGAGCAGAGGGACAGGGCCTTCAGGTAAAAATGTTCTGCCAGTTCACATTGATTCAGGTGACTATAGATTCCAGCTAGTCTGTGATAAGTGACCCGCTCATTCAGCTGATTACCTAAAATACAGACAGTTATCTAGTTGATTATGTTGGCAAAAACATATAACCATCATAGTGATGGGAAAGTTTGATCAAAGAAAGGTAAAAATCTTTTTTAATCCAGTGACCTTGAATTTGATTAAAATATGCTGTTATAACTGCCAGTACTCACTGGTACTTACCAGTGTAATTTTAACCAGTTAAGATCCAGAGCCATTCTTCAGTTTCAGATATGGTCCCAGTGTATTAATTGGCCTACTAATACCTGTATTATTGTTTATGATACAGAGGTAAGTAGTATTATTTTGGAGGGGAGAAAACAAGGTTTTGTGGCAATATTTTTTAAATCATTACCTAGGTGCAGTGGCGTCCCGAGGCAGGTGCGGGGGGTGAGCACCACACCAGGTGACACGGACCGCACGGGATCATCAGCATGCAACCTATACGGGGTGACACCGGACCCGCTCCACGAAAAGGTGAGTTATAAAGAAAGCCGAAGATCCCCACAAGATGGATCGGATCTGCGGATTGGGGAGCATAATGGATCGGAGTCTCAATCAATCCATTCTACGGAGATCGTCGGAGGGGGTGTCACCAAGTTTTATCGCACCGGGTGACACCAACCCTAGGGACACCCCTGCCTAGGTGGATGCAGCATTGATCAGATACTGCATCTGTCCTCCACCAGCTCTAATAATGAGAACTGAGGGATCAGACACTGCTGACCGCTCAGTTCTCCCTGACACTCTGAGCAAAGAGCTGTCAGTCACCACTGTCTGCTCTGCCCCCCCCCCCCCGCCCCCTCCTCCCTGTCAAGGCTCACTGGAGCGGGCGGGAGCGGCTGGCTCATACTCTCAGCATGGCGGTCCAGACATCTGGGTAGATCTCGACTTTAATGTTCCCCAGCCTGGACCAGCAGACTTTAGCCCACTGTTGGCTGAAAATGGGTGAAGTGCTTTGGCTGTACGTCTCCTTTAATGAATTAGTATCACCAGAAATGTTTCATAACTACTTTATTAAATTGTGGCCAGTGGATTTAAACCACAGAGGAGCATAGAAGGGTTCTTCGTTGGATATTAATGTGATTGTAAAAGCAGATTTTTTAAAAAAATAACAAACATGTCATACTTACCTACTCTGTGCAGTAGTTTTGCACAGAGCAGCCCCGATCCTCCTCTTCTTGGGTCCCCCACTGATGCTCCTAGCCCCTCAGTCCTGCCAAGTGCCCCCACAGGAAGCATCTTGCTATGGGGGCACCTGAGTAGGCTCGCTCTTGTGTCCACAGAGCCGCTGCTCTGTGTGTCCATTCACACACAACTATGGCTTGACTCTGCCCCCACTTTCTCCTCATTGGCTCACTGGCTGTGGCTGACAGCAGTAGCGGGAGCCAATGGCTCCTGCTGCTGTCTCAGCCAATGAGAAGGGAGAATCCCAGGACAGCTGAGGCTCTCGTGCACATCGCTGGATTGAGATGGGGCTCAGGTAGGTATTGTGGGTCTGGGGGGAAGATGGCTGGGGGGGGGGGGGCAGCATGCAGAAGGTTTGAAAAGAATGCATGAAGGTAAAAAAAACCTTGAGTGAATAAATGGGGAAGGGGAGAGAGGTGCCTAAGGAATGTCAATTTATTGTCAATTTATTAAAAAGATCATTAAAATCATAATATTGCACTCAAGGTTGATGTGTTTTCAGTCATATTGGCAAAAGTCCATAACCGCAGGCAGATGGATGGCTCGATCCACTGGGGGCCGGATGGAGAGGCAGCCACTGCAGATGCAGAGAGGATGGCCACCTTGGAGAGCAGGATGCAAACACGGGGCGTAGCAAAAAGTGCAAAAGCTTCAGCTGCTGTGTGCACTAGTGAATCAGTTGGATCGGCGGATCGCTGGAACCAAAGCTTCGCTGGAAAGGAATGTTGTGCAAGACAGGATGAGCAGCCTGGTAACACCACTGAGGGAGTGAGTGTGTATGTCTCTAGGGAATGCGTTTTCGGCAGAACAACAAACTTCCTTCATCGGCATACTGAACCTTGAGCCCTTGCAACCACTTTAAAGGGAGTAATGGACAATTTTTGGAAGTTTTTTTGTAAGAACTAAGAGTTGGGATACAGGTACTCTTTAATGCAACAGTGGGTTTGCTAACAAGTCAAGTATTTACCTAAGTTCACACTCAGTGCTAACGCTGTTTTGGCATAGTCCAGTGCTTCTTCATATTCTTTAATGCTCATCAATAAGCCGGAGAGTTTATTACAGAGCTGAAGTTCAGCTTTCTCGTTCCCCGTCTTCACAGCAAGTGGAAGGGCGCGATCCTGGACAAATAGTTAAAAACATTTATAGTGCAAAGCCAAAGATAAGTCTAAAAACCACAGGGCTTTGGTGCAAAATGTAAAGCGAAACCCTTCATATCATGTAATGCTGCGAAAAGCCAAAATGTAACTTTTTTTAGTCCTTATACAATCACTGGGTGTTAGACAGCAAATATAACAAAGACATCCCAGCACTGTTGTGTGTTAGTGCAGAGGCTCCCGATGCAAGAGGAAGGTAAGTATTTTACAAAAAAAGTATCCTAGTGTTGAAGATTAGTATAGGGTTCAGTCAGGTAAGTGTTTGCTGATTTGGGTTTAAGGGGAGGGGGGTGTAGTTGGAGCAGAACTAAGCACTCTCAGTCAACATCAACTATTAGGAATCCGTATGCTGCAAAGAGATTGGAAGATACTGTATATTACATTTACTTGTTTTAAACTTTTTTTTTACATTTCTTCAGTTGCTTCCTTGTTTCTGGTCTAGACCAAAATGATGTCATACATCCCAAGAGTCTTCATGGGAATTTTTTTTTTTCTTTCATCTGGAGAAGGGGAGAGGGGCTTTCTCAGCTAAGCCTACCCCCTTGCCTGCTTGCCTGAGCTAAGGGCAGATGGATCCCAGGAAGCAACTGCTATATAAATCACCTGCCCTTACTCAAGATGGCTGCAGTTAGAATGCTAGGAGGGTGTTTCAAAGTGATTTCTCAACAAAATAAAATATGGAGACATGGATGGATGGAGGAGTTTGCTTTGAATATTATGATATAAATAAATTAAATAGTTTTTCATTTATGATGCTCTGATACAGTTTAGTTCTTCTGTTAGGTAAATGCTTTAGGCTAAGGATAGTGAGGAACATTGCAACACTTCAGACACTGCCAGTGTTTTCACTTCTCAGTCACTACACTGAAACTAAAACTGGCCATACACTAGTAGATTTTTGTATGAACAAAAATTCTCAGTACATTTGATGACTTGTTGAACGCCATTCAAAAGTATTTCAAAAATTAATTTGTTTTTAATATGATTTTGGAATTAATGGACTTTCCAAAATTAAAAAACACATACTGTTGGAAATGTGTTTATTGAAGAACATAATTAGCACTTTGCTTCTTTGAATTTTATTGTCACTACAGTCAAAAGCAAAAGTTAATTTGACCCACTAACTAGCATAAAACTTCCAATAAAAATTCTACTGGTGTATAGCCAGCTTAAGAGTTCTAGACACCTGGCATCAGAACAAAGCTTAATAGAATGTAAGCACAGCCAATGATAAATAAATAAGAAGCAGGCAGTCAAATTGGGCCCTCTGCCTGGCTGCACCTCCTCTACAAAGTTTTTTCCTCAATATTGCTGAAACATATTATGTTTTTGATAGTTATATTGTGTTGTTTACAACATACTTGTTTATTTTTTTATAAAGAAAGGTTCAGGGCAGCACAGTGGCTAAATGGTTAGCACATTTACCTGGCAGTGCTGGGTCATTGGTTCAAAGCCCAGTCACGTCACCTCCTGCCATCCCCTGCCTGCATGGGTTTCTTCTGGGTACTTGGGTTTCCTCCCACACTCCAAAGACATGCTGGTAGTCAGGGATGGATGACAACTCATGGGGCCCCCGGGCAATAGGGGATCATGGGGCCCCTGTGTCCTTGCCCACACTCAAAGAACACCCAAAAAAAACTATAAAAAAGGTACCAGGGGCATTTTCATGGGGCCCCTACTGACCCCATGCCCTCAGTCAGTGCCCGAGTGCTCAATGGTCAGTCCGCCCCTGCTGGTAGGTGAATTGGCTCCTGTCTAAATTGTCCGTAGTATGTGTATGTATGAATGTGAGTTAGGGACCTTAGATTGTACACCCTTGAGGGTTAGGGACTGATGTGAATGTACAATATATATATATATATGTAAAGAGCTGCGTAAGTTGACAGCGCTTTATAAGTACCAGAAAAAAATAATAAAGAAGAGTCCAGCATACGATATACACTCACAGGCCACTTTATTAGGTACACCTTGCAAGTACTGGGTTGGACTCCTTTTTTCCTTCAGATTCTATGCATGAAGGTAAAAAAAATCTTCTGTGTGCAGTGTCCCCCCCCCCCCCCAGCCCCCCCCCCCTTTATACTCAAACCCCCTCTTGATCTAGCGATGTGCACTGGAGTCTCGACTATCCCGGGTCTCCCTCTTCTCATTGGCTGAGACATCAGTGGGAGCCATTGGCTCCCCACTACTGTCAATCACAAGTGAGCCAATGAGAAGAGAGAGGGTGGGGCCAAGCCGCAGCTCCATGTGTGCATAAACACACAGGACAGCAGGTGCCCCCATAGCAAGCTGCTTGCTGTGGAGGCACCCGACAGGAGGGAGCAGCCAGGAGTGCAGGTGGGGGACCCAAGAAGAGGAGGATCCGGGCTACTCTGTGCAAAACCACTGCACACAGCAGGTAAGTATAGATATGTTTATTATTGAAAACAAAAATGCCTTTAGAATCACTTTAATTCTTCGTGGCAACAAGGTGATTCAACAAGGTGTTGGATCATTTGGACCATTCTCTGTAAAACCTAGAGATGGTTGTGCATGAAAATCCCAGTAGATCAGCAGTTTTTTGAAATACTCAGACCAGCCCATGGCACCAAAAACCCATGTTCAAAGTCACTTAAATACCCTTTCTTCGCCATCCTGATGCTTGGTTTAAACTTCAGCAAGTCACTTACACCACGTCTAGATGCCTAAATACATTGAGTTGCTGCCATGTGATTGGCTGATTAGCAATTTGTGTTACTAAACAATTGAACAGGTGTCTCTAATAAAGTTACCGCTGAGTGTAGTATGCATATTAATCTTGTTTGCTCCCCCTGATCCCCCCCCCCCCCCTCCTCACTGAGAGAGCATTTCACAGCAAGGCCAACTGGACCCTTGATCATGCACTGGTGGCTCTACATATACAAGCTTTAAAAATGTTTACAGAAATGTTTACAGAAATGTTTACAGTATAATAAACTTTACTTCATACTCTACCCTATAAAAGGTCACGGCCTTGTCTCTGTCATTAGTCCCATTGAAGAATATATCTCCACAAGCTTCATACAGGGCCATTCCTAGCTTTGGGTCTCCAGTGCACAGAGCTACATTCTGAGCTACCTGGGAAGAACAAAGTGTCAAAGCTTCAAAAAGATGTATATGGATATAGTAGTCATAAAAAGGTTCTCTTTCTTTAATCATATGCCATCCAGAAATGGCAACGTCATGCAAATTTCCATTTTGGTAGATTTCTATATTCTGGTATGTATACTGATACTCTTGTTTCTTTTACTCAGGTAGCCACAACCATACATTAATGGGGCAGCACAAGACCCTCTATACCTAAAAGTAGCATACAGCAGACAACTCCTCTGCAGAAATATGAAAGAATGTCAGCCGCACTCCACTTAGCTTCTCTTACAGTATTTTTCATAATCGATGAATTGACTGCATGCAGTAATGTCTTCACGCAAAAAAAATCTTCCTTGACGCATTTCAAAACCCCTGGCTTGCTCCCCTATCCTCATGAGCAAGCCAGGAGTGGTGAAACACTTCGAGGAGAGTTGGTTTTTGCATAGAGATTACTGTATGCAGTCAATTCATCAATTATTAAAAAATACTGCAAGAGAAGCTAAGTGGAGTGCAGCTGACCTTCTTTCAAATTCCTAATTGAGAGTGGAGACAAACTACAATGGCCAGCACCCAGGATGTTCAGGATGTACTATATAAGAGAGGCTAGTCTTGAGCAGAGCTATGGATCTATGTGTGTTTCAACTCCTTTGCAGGGTCTTAAATAATGGATTACATGGTCTATTGATAGTTCTGCATATACATTTATGTACATCATACAGCACAAGCCTCCAATAGCTCATTCAGATCTTAAGCTCCACAATTCATGCAGTTACCTGCTGACAGACAAAAAATGGATGGTCCTTTAGGTGGGATTCTAGGACAGCCTAAACCTGTCCATTAGTCCTTTATTTATCTTTCAGGCCATAATCACTTGGGTTCCTAAGGCTACATTCACATACCCACACAGGGGTGGCTGCTGGTGAGATACACTAGATTCATACCAATGGTTCTAAACTCTGCCTGCACACCCTGCATATGGCCAGCAGCAGCTGTCATATTTGTATTTTTTACAAAGCAATGACCAGTACCACCGCTGTTCATTGTAACCGCTGAGCAGTTACATGTGATTAAAGCCTCATATCGACCCCAGACGCAACTGGTGTGTATTCAGGATCAGCTATTTGCAGAGTGCTGGCCACAGCTAATCAGCCAGTTTGAATGTGGCCATAGCACAGAGTGTTGCTGCATCCAGAGGAAGCATTTAGCCATCACTGAATGCAACAAATTGACTATCCTCACACATGCAGTTGAGTGAATGTAGTCTAAATGTAGTAGATGGAAGGGGCAAGAGACTACAGCAGATACTGTATATTCCCTGGGAGATGTAAGAAGCAGGGGCGGACTGACAACTCATGGGGCCCCCAAAGAATAGGGGATCATGGGGCTTCTGTGTCCTTGCCCAAACTCAAAAAAGCCTATGAAAAAGGTACTAGGGGCATCTCATGGGGCCCCCTACTGACCCCGGGCCCTCAGGCAGTGCCTGAGTTTCCAAATGGTCAGTCCGCCCCTGGTAAGAAGCCAACTGGTGGGTAAAATCTTACACCATCCACCCATAAATGCAGCTACAGATTTCATTGGATTTGGCCTTTATGTTTGTTTCACCTTAAGGATTACAGGCTTGTAGGCAAGAGTAAGGCCAGATAGTAGGCACCCAAGAGGGAAGGAACAACACACAGAGTTCTGAGATTTCAAGGAAGTGTATTGTCAAGAAAGTTCCAAATGCACTGAAACAAGGTCTATGTACAGTGAAGGAAATAATTATTTGATCCCCTGCTGATTTTGAATGTTTGCCCACTCACAAAGAAATGATCAGTCTAAAAATCAAATGTAGGTGTATTGTAACACTGAGAGACAGAATAACAACCAAAAATTCAAAAGAAATGCATGTCTAACAAATGATGCACTGATTTGCATGTTCATTGAGGGAAATAAGTATTTGATCCCATTTACAAAACATGACTTAGTACTTGGTGGCAAATCCCTTGTTGGCAATCACAGAGGTCAGACATTTCGTATAGTTGGCAACCAGGTTTGCACACATCTCAGGAGGGATTTTGGCAGATCCTCTCCAAGTCATTAAGGTTTGGTGGCTGACGTTTGACAACTCAACTTTCAGCTCCCTCCACAGATTTTCAATCGGATTAAGGTCTGGAGACTGGCTAGGCCACCCCAGGACCTTAATGTGCTTCTTCTTGAGCTACTCCTTTGTTGCCTTGGTCCATGTGTTTTGGTCTGCCCGCAGTATATGTACTGTAGGTGGTTGACAACTGGTTTAAACGGTAATGCCACTTTCATGGGAAATAAAATACAAAATAAAAAAAAATATGTAGAATATACAATTCTACAAGCCATGTTGTAATTTAATACTATTAAAAATAACCTTTCCATTTCAATCTACAGTTGCTGAAAATTTCTGTTAAATGCAATGTAAATATGGCTGCCTGGAGGCCTACTACAACCTGTTGGTCCCCCCAGAAATGTAATTTCCTGTTTGTGTGAAGAACTCTGCACTCAGATACAATTCAGGATTTGGGCATTCTCTGTAACAAAAATGTCATTTTTGGTCAGATACTCTCAAAGGGTTAATTACTTTAAAGAAATGCAGGCAATGCAGCTTTTCTCATCAGAGCACTGATAGTGCACCAGCTGATTATAATGAACCAGTCTCTGTGCACAGGGTATGACCAAACAATGGGCTATTCTTTCTAAGCAGGTGGGAATCTGCAGCAAAGTTTGTTAAAATCCTTTCAATGGACATTGATCACCCAGAGGGGATTTTTTTTCTCAACTAAAGTGGAGTTACTCTTAAAACGGTCCACCTTGGATCATTTTTCAGAGGGCAATGCAAGTGTAAAAAAGGCCTTATTGGAAAAAGTTCTAAAAGATTGATAAATGTACTGTGTATTCAAAAATTAACTAAAATAGACACATATTTAAAGGGTGAAGAAAATGCATACATTTGCCAATCTTTGCATATAGAAGCATAGAAAGTGATGGCAGAAAAAGACCAAGTGGTCCATTGCGTCTGCCCATTTTTAGTTAAAGTGTGTACTTTTTTTTTTTTTTGGGGGGGGGGGGGGGGGGATTAGGGTAAGCTTGTCCTAAGCATGTTTTGAAGCTATTTACTGTTGACTGGCTCATTACCTCTACTGGAAGATTATTCCAAGCATCAACTACTCTTTCAGTAAAATAGCACTTTCTGAGATTAGTTTTGAACGTTCCTCCAGTTAATTTAAGGTCATGTCCCCGTGTTCTTGATTTTGGTTTTGTGTAGAAATACTACCCTCCTGAACCTTATTCACCTCCTTGATGTATTTACAGGTTTCAATCATGTCTCCCCTTTCCCTTCTTTCCTCCAGACTGTACATGTTAAGTTCCTGAAGTCGCTCTTGAGATGTTTATCCCCCAGACCTTTCACCATTTTTTGTTACCCATCTCTGGACTCGCTCTATCTTATCAATATCTTTTTGTAAGTGAGGTCTCCAGAACTGAACACAGTATTCTAAATGAGGTCTAACTAAAGATCTATATAGGGAAACCAGGACCTCCTTCCTCCTGCTGGTGACCCCTCTAGTGATCCATCTTAGAATTCTATTCGATTTCTCCAATGCCTGGCCACACTGTTTGCTCATTTTGCAATCATCTGAAATAAGTACCCCCAAGTACTTTTCCTCTGAAGTGTTGGCCAACACTGTACCCCCAATGTTGTACTCTCTCAAGGGATTATTTTTTCCTAGGTGCATTATTTTACATTTAGAAACATTGAACTGCAATTTCCACTTTTTTAACCAATATTCCAGCAATACCAAATCATGTTCCATGTTACAGACACCTCCAGGGATATCAACCCTATTGCACACCTTTGTGTCATCAGCAAAAAGACATACCTTACCCAACAAATCTTTAATTATATCACTGACATATAGATTAAATAGAACAGGACCTAGTACAGAGCCCTAAGGTACACTACTAGTGACTGGTCTCTGTTCTGAGTAAACCCCATTTACAACCACACTCTGGTGTGGTTATATATACATTAGCCCACACCCCATTTGTTATATCTACATAGGTTTTTGTACCTGAATATAAAGATCCACCAGCTCATTCTGACCCAGAATATAATATATTTTCCCAGCCATTAACCATGCGTAGGCTTCCTTCTCTTTAGCTTGAAGGTCAATAAAGATACCCAGACTCCTTTTGGTGTATTCCAGGGCTGACCTGCAGGCTCTAAAAAAAAGCAACATATCTGAATTTAGCATTGGACTATAGCATAAAACAACCTTACAGTAGATCTAATTCTACATTTTAGGGTAACATTTATGGTATTAACCACTTGACCTCTGGACCTCTAGGCTTGGCTCAGGCTGGCTCAGGAGGATCTGTTCAGCAGTACGGCATGAACAGGATCAAGGCATGAGAGCAAATAGGACAAAGTGAGTATATCAGCAAACCCTGGGATTTACAAGGAGAGGGACTGCCACATGTAGCAAGCTTTCTAAGGACAGCGCTGTGCTTAATCCTTTATCCTTGTCCTGGGAGATCTTCAGAGCAGCCAAGAGAGTTGGTAGTGTCTTCAGGCTGTGGAGCTGGGAGCAGTTCTTTTTCTTGAAAGCAGAGATGTCTCCTCTCCCCTGTAGAACAATCCAGGATCTGTCTCTGTAAATAGGAAGGCAGTTGTCCTCGTGCTTTGATTCAATTAAGTTGGGCATGCCATAATTCCTATTACCCTATCCAAGTTATATTCCCCTAATAAAATAACAAAAAACAATTGTTACTAAACCCAGGACCCTGCATTCACTATATCTAGTCCCCCACAGTATACAGAACATGGAAATGCAATTATTTTAGTAAATATAAACTACTAAATACCTTTTCTCATCAGCAATTAGAGCAGTCTTGTGACTTCTATCAGTGTCCAGCTGAGAACTAATCCTAGGAGTAGTTTTCATTCTGCTCTGTCCTATGAGGCGTCAAAACCCCTGACCCTCTGTGTGGACAGTGCTGATTGTCCCTGTGCTCAACACATGCACCCTCAAAGAAAAAAAACAACTCTCTAGCCATACACACTAAACTGAGCATGTGCAGACTGACTCCAAGAGCTCTGTACTATCAGCAGATATATTGAGGACAGTAGAAGAAGGGTAGGATCAGAAAAGACAGGATCAAACAGCCTTTTTACACAACGTGGAAGTTTAACCCTTAGGTTCCACACTGAATATAACAAGCATGCTTTACTGCATATACAGACTGATTTTACTCTTGTGGGTTTAGTAACACTTTAATTGCTGGATCGGGAGTTATTAGCCTGTAGGTAGGTGCAGTCTGTTTTCTAAACTACAGGTGGTACCAAGTGGTACCACAGCCTGCGGAGGGAGTCAATGGAAAACTGGTTTCTCTATGGTTTCCTGGGTCATGGAGCAGCATTCCTCATTGGCTACGCTGCATCCATGTGACCCCCTGGCAGCCATCTGGGGTCAGCAGGGTCATAAGAAGTCCCTGCCCCCGGGTTTTGGAGCACATTTTTTGTCAAGTAGGTAGGGTAGGTCGAACTGCCGCCGAACCAAGCTGCACTTCCCCAGAGGCCAGCAGTATCTACATGAGCAATCAACATCCTGATGGCTCACCAAAAGGAAGATAAATCCTCTGTTAGACAGTTGTCACTATAGCTAAAGCTCCCCAGTGGGGACACACACAGTAATAAAAACCAGAGAGGGGTTCTAATCCTCTATTAAAACATGGCTTTAGAATCATGTTGGCCACACATACATACATTTGTTTTGTTCAGCCTGTAGATTGAACATAATAAATGTAATCAGGCTATTGTGCTCAGAATACCTGAATAGCTGCTGTATCTGATCAGATGCAGGCACTGTTTGGCCTTTAATTTTTCAAAAGACTCATTTCGGCTGAGCCAGCAGGAATTGCCTTTAATTTGAGCAATGTATGGCAAGCTTTATTTTATTTATAGTGTGAAAATGCAGTCTCTTCTAGTTATTTTTGATGGCTTGGGCAAGAATTTATATGTCAGCCCCGAACAACCACCATCCAATCAGGAGACTAAGTGATCAGAACGGTTCCAAAAGGTGCTAAAACTGTGTGCTTCTCCACTCCTTTGTTCATTATGTGGTACTGTTTGTGCTAAAGTGTCTCTACCCAGGGCAAAAACTTTGAGATGTCAGATTCAGCTATTCAGTGGCCAGCTTAAGTGGATATTCCATTATCACTGGTACTGTGGTACAGCAGAAAAGCTTGTAGAGAAAATAAAAAATACATTATTAAAACCTATTCCCATACCATATCATAACAAACAGTACAATTTTAGATTTTGGCCTCACCTTTCAGTACCTAGAGATAAGTACAGTTGACTGATGTTTTCAAGTACTTGGCCTTCCAATACTTTGTCTGCCATTTTCCTGGCTAAGGACAATTGGTATTCATTGTAAATGATGCACTGAGCCTCATTAACCATACATGTGCTGTAGAACTGACACAGAAGCTGGACGGCATGGAGCTGACCTGTCCAAAAG